GGGGGGGTCGGTGCAGCTGGGGCTGGCCGCGCTTTCCGGCGGCGCCTTTGCAAGCTGCTGCCGTTGAGCTCCTCGTTGCTCCTGTGGTTGCAGTGCACTACCAAAAAATAATCCACCGGGATATTAAACCTTCCAACCTCCTCGTCGGGGAGGACGGGCACGTCAAGATCGCTGACTTTGGCGTGAGCAACGAGTTCAAGGGCGCTGACGCCCTCCTGACCAACACGGTGGGCACGCCGGCGTTCATGGCACCGGAGACGCTCTCAGAAACCAGGAAAATCTTCTCTGGGAAGGTGCGTGATCACGGTGTGGGGATTTTCGGAACAGCCTTCCCTGCGCGTGCTTTGTCTCCTGTTCCCGACCTGACTGTGCTTCCTTCTCCCCAAAGGCGTTGGATGTCTGGGCCATGGGAATCACGCTCTACTGCTTCGTGTTTGGGCAGGTAATGGGAGTTCCTGGCCGGCGCTGCTGCGGGGCGCGCTCCTGCCAGCCCTACGCGGACGCTCGCCCGGCGGCCAAGCCGCCCCCGTTCCTTAACGGTGCTGTTGCTTTCTTCGTTGCTCTTTGTCTTTGCCGCTAGTGTCCCTTTATGGACGAAAGGATCCTGAGTTTACACAATAAAATCAAGACCCAAACCTTGGAGTTCCCAGACCAGTAAGTACTCAACAAAAATAAAATAAAGTGGAATAACCCTCAGCCCTTCTTTTGAAGCTGCCGAGAGCTGGTTTCTCGGGCGCCGGCCGGCTACGGCTGTGCCCTTGCGGCTTTGCAAAACTCAAGCCACGAGTCCTCCTCTTGGCCCTGGAAAACTTCCTTTGCGTTAAGCGCGAAGGCGACGTCTCTCGATTTGCCGTTGTTGAGGAAAGAGCAGTTTCCGTTGCAGAGATGTTGGAGCGAATGAATGAACCTTTTTCCTTGCTGGTTTTTGGCCGGGGTGGATTCGATGCCCATCCGGGCGGGAGGGGGATTCGCTTCCCGCGGGGTCCTGGTGGGGTCGGGGAGGAACGGGGAGCGCCGCGGTGGACCGGCGCCCTCCCCGCGACTCCTCTCCCCCCTCTCTCTTTTCCCAAGGCCGGAGGTTACGGACTTCTTGAAGGATTTGATTACGCGGATGCTGGATAAAAATCCCGAATCGAGGATTTCGGTCCCCGAAATCAAGGTACTGGCCCAACCCCCTGGTGTTAGCTGTGGCGTCACGCCTGTCGGGTTGTCCTCGCTCGGCTTTTTCGGGAGTCACTGCCATCCCTGCAGGCTAGGTCCTCCCTCCCTGCCCGGGGCCCCTAGGCAGGTAAGTCCCGGTTCCTTTCCCCCCCTCCTGGACCTTCTCAGCTTTGGGACCTTTGGTGCCTGCAGAAGTGCAAGGCAGAAGGAAATCCCCTGAGTACAGTATTTCCTCTGCTACCAGGAAAGTACTGTGCAACAGCCTTTCGCAGGAGATTTCTGGTCCTCCGCCCCTGCGGGAACCTGGAAGGGGCGAGAAGCTGAGAAAATGGAGACGAAGGTAGGGGGAAAGGATTGCGGGGGACTTGCTGAATCCTTTCGTGTTCCTCCCGCAACGGCCGCAGGCTCCAGGTGCGTGGGCCAGGCAGGAGAGGGGCTTCCCGCCTTCCCTCGCCCGTCGACGCGGTCCGGCCAAGACTAGGGCTCGCTGCGCTTCCCCCCCCTCGCTGCCGCTGCTGCGACGCATCCCGAATAAATCGTCGCAGCCCCTCGG